TGTCCTGGGGGCCACCGAGGCCCTCTTCTCCCCTGCCGCCTCCAAGCATCTCCATCCAAAGGGCACAGCTGCAGCTTTTGCTGGCTCCTGCTCTGTGTGCTCAGCAGCTCCAGCCTGGAAGTGGCTGCAGCCTGAAATGCTCTGAGCAGTTTTTTCTCTCATCGTGGCTTCTCCCACCTTTGTGAACTCCATAGGTCTCTCCTCTTCCCCTAAGCTCTAGCAGTCCCAGCTTGGGTATTGTTACTTTTTTATAGTTGTAAATTGGTTGATTTGTGGGAGAGAGTGACTCTGGGGACCATCTATTCTGCCATCTCAACTAGAACTCCAACATTTAAATTTTTAAAAATACTGTTTATTGTATAGGGATATACACCTATGCAAGTATAGTAAAAGAATATATGTGGTGCTATGGGTTGAATGTGTCCCCCAAAGTTTCACATGTTGGAAACTTGATCCACATTGTAACAGTGTTAAGAGGGTGAGAAATCTGATTATGGTATTTGAAAGGTGGGGCATTTAAGAGGTTATTGGATTGTGAGAACTATGCCCTCATGAATGGGTTAATACATTCATGGAGTCATGGGTTAATAGTTTAATGGGTTGTCATGGGTGTGGACTGGTGGCTTTAAAAGGGGAGCAAGTGAGCACATAAGCACTCTTGCCATTCTCACCATGTGATACTGTGTTGCCACGAGAGTGCATACAGAGCCCCCACTCAAAAGAAGACCCTCACCAGATGTGCACCCTGGATATTGGACTTCCTAGCCTCCAAAACTGTAAGAAATAAACTTCTTTTGTTTATACATTACCCAGTTTTAGGTAATGTAAATGATAAACATCAAATTCACAAGTGATTACTTGAGCAAGGGAGGGGAATGATAATACTGAGGGTATATAGGGCTTCAGTTGCATTGGTGATGCTTAAACTTATTTTCTGGTCTTTTTTGTACACCTGAAATGCCTCATTAAACAGCTAAAACAACAAAACAAGTAATAGCCTTAATTTTTAAGATGGGGAAACTGAGGCTCAAGAACTTCAGCTGCTGTGCCAAGCTTCTGACTGTACTCCTTCCATATTATTATCCTGCTTTAAATTTAAAAAAACAAAACGAAGGGCCGGCCCGGTGGCGCACTGGGTAGTGCGCCGCTTGGGAAGCGCGGCGGCGCTCCCGTTCCAGGGGTCGGGTCCCACCTCCCCACACGCC